GAGCCAGGAGTCAGCACAGAATCCTGGGCCTGGAGACAAACACTGGGAAGGAGGAGGGCGCACTTCCAGGTCAGCAGAGAGCAGAAGCAGAAACTGGACACCCACTTGGTAGATAGAAAAAGGACAAACCTGGACAAGTATTTGCTTGCATTTTTTTCCATCTTAGGTGCTCTTATATTTGAATATGTCAAAAGAGATATTAGACAGTTTTCTGTTGATGTCTTTTCATTATAAGAAGCAGCTGTGTTTCTCAGTAGCATTTTGACCTTTGGGGTTATTTGACCACATTTTCCAGTGAGGTCGCTTGCAGTCACTCTCTCACAGGTACTAGGTGAAGTGCCCCTCCTCTAGTCAGAAGTGAAGATAACAGCCCTTGCTTTTGCTCTCAGTACACGTCTCTGGAAGGAGATTGAACTGAAACTGTTGTATGTGCTGATAAATTTCAGGTGGTTGTTTACAAAAAAGCTGGAATTGACAAGGCATGGACTATTTGCTGTGTCTCATTTCTAGGTTAAAGAATTATGTGACTCAGATCTCTTGCACTTTTTTTCCTCTTAGGTCTTGGCATGGTCACACCTATTAATGACCTTCCTGGTGCAGATACATCGTCATATGTGAAGGGAGAAAAGCTTACTCGCTGCAAGCTGGCCAGTCTGTACAGACTTACAGATTTGTTTGGATGGGCACACCTGGCAAATACATACATCTCAGTGAGTTCTTTACTTTTGGTTTCTTTTTCTAAAATTCCAACTAGATACCAACTGTGACCTCTCATCGTCACTGGAAAGTCCAGTTTTCAGACTAGATAGATGATAAATTAAGCTTCACCTCCAAGGAGACTAACTTTCCTCCTCTTTCTCTCCTCTGTGAGGTTCCTTTGCAGTATGGCTGTAGAGCCTGCCCGGGAAGAAGCTGTGCAGAGCATCCCTTCCATGTTCTGCGGTTGAGCCTCTATGGTGTTAAGAAGCCCTTGGGGCAGGGAAAGCAGGGGGCAGGAAGGTTTCCTCCTGGTGCTTGTAATCTTTAAGTCCACTTTTCCTTATTTGCATACGAACAAGCACTGGAGGTTAGGACCCACATGTGAGAGAATGCCAGATTCTTGTCTTTCTGAGGCGTGAGAGTGGAAGAGAGGACACGGGAGGTAGAGGCTGGGCAGGAAGAAGGGGGGAAAGAATAAAACCCACTTCTATTTGGAAAACGCCACAATGAAACCTAATGCTTTGTAAGCTAATACAACCATAAACAAGCAAACAAACAAACAAATGTGTCTTCCAGTTCGCTGCCATCTGTTTTCACTTTGGCACACTTGGAAGGATGACATTCTTGGAATAAAAAACCACAGAACTACTGTGTTGGAAACGGTAGGCAGACAGCCCTGCAGTTTCCCACGAGTCTTGTTTCTTCTAGCCATTCCTTCCTTTCCCCATTCCATCTACCTTGATTCCTTCACAGGAGAAGGTTTTCCATCCAGACCCCTGTTCATCGCAGACATAATCCTAGCCATGTTTATGCTATAAGTACAAGTGCCTCCGAGTAAGTCCTTGTTTTTTCTTTCTTCCAGGTTCGAATAAGTAAGGAGCAAGACCACATTATAATAATTCCCAGAGGCCTCTCTTTTTCTGAAGCGACAGCCTCCACTTTGGTACTGTTCCTATTCCTCTGTCACTTTCTCTGGGTGCCCTTGTTTTTAAGGAAAACATTAGAGTTAAAGAAAAATAGGGTGGTTGACAATATTAATAAGTTGAGTTGGAATTACTTTGCCTGGTTTTTCTTTTTTTGAGATGGGTTTTACTATGTAGGGCTGGCTGGCCTCAAACTCACAGAACCCTGCCTGCCAAGTGTGACATTAACGGTGTGCACCACCGCACTTGGCCCTGCTTATATTTTAAATAGAATCTGTTAAATATTGTATACATGGAAAAAATTTCCAAACAAGGTTGAAATATAGTCCACAGTTCAGTTTCAACAGTTTAGTTGCTGTGAAGATAGCCTCTATCTGGGCAAACTCACCACTCCCTGGGTTAGCTGTGGGATGTAGATGAAACTTGGAATGTATGTACCAAATAATTGCATCTTTCTGATTTTTTTCAGGTAAAAGTCAATATAATAGGAGAAGTGGTTGACCAGGGAAGTACTAATTTGAAGATTGACCATACAGGATTCAGTCCCCATGCTGCAATCTATTCAACACGTCCTGATGTGAAGTGTGTAATACACATTCATACCCTTGCTACTGCAGCTGTAAGTCAGCCTGTGCAGAAACCGAATGACTACAGAAAATACTGTTATCATGCTTGTGCCAGCACGGTGCTTCACGGTGTGTCCTCTGTCACACCCTGCTAGCCCTCTGCATTCCCAGAAAGCAAAAAGGTCGTGGAAACACTTGCAGAAATAAGTGTGGATTTCAAAACTAAGCAGTTTAGGGCTGGAGAGATGACTTAGTGGTTGAGAGCACAGGCTGCTCTTCCTGAAGACCTGGATCCAGTTCTCAGCACCCACATGGCAACTCACCACTGTCTGTAACTCAACCTCCAGGAGTTCTGACACCTTCACATAGACACACACTCAGGCAAAACACCTATGCACATATAATAAAAATAAACAATTAAAAAATTTGATCACAGGCTGGAGAGAGAACCCAGTGGTTAAGAGCACGGACTGCTCTTCCAGAGGTCCTGAGTTCAATTCCCTTGATCACAGGCTGGAGAGAGAACCCAGTGGTTAAGAGCACAGACTGCTCTTCCAGAGGTCCTGAGTTCAATTCCCAGCAACCACATGGTGGCTCACAACCATCCGTTATGAGATCTTGTGCCCTCTTCTGGCCTACAGGCATATATGCAGACAGAATGCTGTATATATATTAAATAAATAAATCTTTAAAAAGTAAAATAAAAAATAGAAGTGATAAAGGATACCCAGTTTTAAAAAAAAAAAAAAAAACTTGCTCACTAAGCAGTTTAATAATTGGGTCAATGAAACTTTGAGGGGAGAACATCTTTCATAATACTTGACATTCATGTGGATTGTGTTGTATCCCTTTAACTCTGCCCCTCCCCCCTTCTAGAATAAGTAAAGAATTAGAGTGGGAGTGGGCTGCACTACAGTGCCAAGTACTATACATCACCCAATGCTTCCTGGGATACCTAAAGAATCAGATTCCAAAGCATGTGAGTAATAACAAAATGTGTAATCTTGGACCCAATCAATAGGTGTCCTCCATGAAGTGTGGGATCCTTCCAATTTCCCAAGAGTCTCTTATCCTGGGAGATGTAGCCTATTATGACTACCAGGGGTCACTTGATGAAGAGGAGGAAAGAATTGAACTTCAGAAAGTTCTGGGTCCAAGCTGTAAGGTATGTGGTCGTCTGTATCTAAGGGGCTTTTTGTTTTTGTTGCTGCTCGTGATAAGATCACTGTGTATGAGCTGTGCAGTTAAAACGGTGCTCTGGGCTCTCTTTGCCTTAGGTGCTGGTGCTGAGGAACCATGGAGTGGTAGCACTTGGAGAGACACTTGAGGAAGCTTTCCATTACATCTTTAATGTGCAGATGGCCTGTGAGATTCAGGTAGGAGCCAGTTGTTCCCTCCTCTTTATTGCCTTATATTTGCCAGTTTAGTTGGGTCTGTGTTTATTTTCAAAGACCTATTGACCAGTGGCTTGTTTTATCTTTTAATAGAAGTTCCACTTTATTTCAGTAACAAAGCTTGTCAGCTCAGTTATCATTTGAAGTAAAAAAAGGAAAAGAAATTAAAATTCACACTCCCACAATCGAAGAGCCTGACGAACATAATTTTCCGACAGTCTTACTTTGTTTCCCCTCCAGTGATGCTGCTAAGAAACAGAGGTGTCTGCAAATGAAGAGCTGGGTGTGTTGTGTAAAAGCTCAGACTAGGGCCAGATGTTTTACAAACTCATGAAGTTAGCAGCCATCCAACCTCTGTGTTATAACACACTGGATATTTATTAACCACTTTCCTCAGAGATGCTGAGTATATGCCAAGGCTCTAATACTCTTTAAAGATAAGCAAACTCACAGCCATTTTCATTTATTTCAAGAACCAGAAAAAAAGGGAAAGAAAACCTGTTTCTACTAACCTGAGGAGACACAATCTGTCTGTATAGCTAATGCTAACCTCAGACTTGACATCCTCCTGCCATAGCCTCCCAACGTTAAGATTTCAGGAATGTGCTACCAGGCTCAGTCTTTGTCTGCTAACTCTTAAGCTGTCGTGACCAGCTTCTCTTTTGCCGTTAAGGTCCTTCTCAAGGGCTGTGAGAAGCCTAACTAGGACAGTGAGCATCACCTTCTGCTTAAATGTCCTCAAGTGGGAACCACAGCATCTCCATATTCCTTCTCCCGTACACCTTTCACAGAAATATTAGCTAGATAGCCCTGGGAAAGTTTTCAAGAAAAGGGCTTTAAAATTTATCAAGAAAGCTCAGTTAGTTGGAGTGTGTTAAACATGCGACTCCCATTGCTCTTCCCATCAGAAGTAATGGGAGTCCTGGAAGACATTGTTCCAGATGGGTGGGAAGGCTGTGCAGCTGCTGACTGCACAGAGTGTCAGCTTGTCTCTTACTTGTTATTAGCAGCTGATGCAGTGTGATCTGGTGCCAGAGTGAAATTGTAGCTTTTGGAAAGTAAGATTCTTGTTACTGTCCTCACAATTTGCATGTCTGTATTTCACCACTCATTACAGGTGCAGGCAATAGCAGGGGCAGGGGGAGTAGACAATCTGCTCATACTGGATCTTCAGAAGTATAAAGCTTTCACCCATGGTGTAGCCGTGTCTGGAGGAGGTGGTGTGAATATGGGTTCCCATCAGAAATGGAAGATTGGCGAGATTGAGTTTGAAGGACTGATGAGGACTCTGGACAATTTGGTAGGTGACTTGTCAACCTAGACTTGAGTTTCGTGTCTGTGGATCCAAGAGCACTTCATTCCATCTCCCTTGGGCTTTAGAGCATATTTCTAACTTCTTCATTACCAGACTTGAGTCTACAAAGGCACTGCAGTGTAATTTCACCTCATTTTTAAGAACCAGGCAGTGAGATAGACAAATGTTTTCCTTTCCCCCATGAACACACTGTCATTAGTTCTAGTCACTACATTACATAGTCTGTTCCTTTTTAAAATTCTTTATGTGCATGGGTGTTTTACCTGCATGTATGTCTGTGTGTTCCTGGTGCCTGTGGAGGACAGAAGAGAGCAGTGGATTGGTTCCCTGGTACTGGAGGTACAGTTGTGAGCTGTAACATACGTACTGGAGGTACTGAGAATTGAACCCATGTCCTCTGGAAGAGAAGCCAGTGCTCTTAACCACCGAGCCAATTTCTCAGCCCCTTTAGTATATTCTTGAATTGAATCCTCCTACATAATTGAAGGTTGTATTCTTGGATCAATTTCTTTCTGCCTCTAGCCTCTGGTAACCACCATTTTAATTGCATCTATGAATTCAACTTGTTTAGATTGCACATATCAGTGTGCCCAGGTGGTATTTGTTTTCTGATGCCTGACTTATTTCAGTTACCATAATGTTCTCCAGGTTCATCCATATTGCCACTAATGCCAGAATCCCCTTCCTTTAGAAGGGTGTAGGGAGGGGCAGCATTCTGTTGTGCATATTCCAAATTCTCCTTACTTTTTTACCCTACATTTTATGTGTGGTGTTTGTTTATTTGTTGTTTTTAAAAGGAGCTCTGGTAAAGTTTTAATTAAGGAAAACTTTCCTGGTGTACTTTTCACCAGTCTGTTCTGGCATGCTGATAGTATTCAAATAACATCAGAATCACCTGGGTCAGTGGTAACCAGTGTGTGTACTCTGTAGTAGTTTCCACATGCTGTGCCCAGTCCAGTGCCACTGCCACTGTAAGGATGCACACCAGTTTTAGTCACCATGGCACAGTGTTCTAGTTCAGATTTCCTGAAAGCTGGGCAGTTGTTGGCAAGGATAACCAATTTCTCTTTGCCCTGTCTGATCATCATCAGAGTCTGTTTGTAGCCCAGCGTGTACTTTCCGCTTCTCATAGCAAGTTGGAGCCTAGAGTTGATCAACTCCAGAGACTTTTTCATCTTCTTTGAGGCCACCATCTTCCTGCCTTAGGTGCGGGACAGCCCCCAGCCAAGACCAGCCACACTTAGATTGGCCGGGGAAAGAGAAAGGCTCATGTGTGTTTTATTGAGACATAATGAATTCACATAGCTCAGAAGTTTACAGAAGCCTACACAACAGAGAAAGTTGTCCCTTTCCAAAACAAACCACTGTTAGCAAAGTTACTGCACCACATTTTTTTACCCATTCATCCACTCACGATAGAGAGATCGATTCCCTATCTTGGTTATTGTGACTAATTCTGAAATGAAATGAAAATGGAAGTGTAGTACCTCTCATCATGCTGATTTTACTTCCTTCAGATCAATATCAACTAGTGAGATCACTGGACCATGCAGTAGTTCTAGTTGTAAGATGCTGCTTTTGATTATAGATGTATTAATTTACAGTCCCGCCAAACAATACTCAGGAACGTTTTTCTCTTCCTTCCCTGTAGGCGGAGGTTCTGTCCCACCAGGGCCTGCAGCCGTTTGGTCCGAAGCTTATATTAATTAGGAAATGTTGGGCTGATGGATCAGGCTTCTTTCTGGCTAGCTCTCTCTTAATTATTAACCCATAACTATTAATCTATGTATCTCTACATGGCCTTATCTTACCAGAGAGTGCCCAGCTTGTCTTATCTTCCCAACAGCTACATGGCATCCCTGCCGGCCACACTCTACCTCTTCTCACCAGAATTCTCCTCATCTTGTAGCCCCGCCTATACTTCCTGTGTGGCTACTGGCCAATCAGTGTTTTATTCATCAACCAATAAGAGAAACTTATACACAGAAGGACAACCCCCATCACATCCCCTTTTACCCAGGACTCATCTTTTGTCTGCCTGATAATAAATGGGCTTCCTGACAGATGTGGTTTCATTTGCATTTTTCATAGACCTGAGCATTTTAATGTCATTTTTTTACAAAATATTGATTCAGTTCCTTGCCTGTGTTCAATCCATAGTTCTTGTTGCTTGGTTTATTTAGTTCCTTAGACAAATTGGATATTGACCACTTAGAGATGCAAGGGTTAGCAGGTATCATCTTAGAATGTTTACTGTCTTCTGTGGAGGGTCAGGAGACAGGTTGTCTTTAAACCTAGGAAGAAAGACTCCAAGCTCTGGTTTCCCAAAACCAGTTTCATAGCAGGAAATGTTTCTGACCATCAGGGGTAGACATTAGTTCTGTTGGGTAGAAGTTAGAATACCAGTTGTAGTCAGTTTCAAACATATATTTCACCTCCAGTGTTATATGGAGGCTGTGTGCAGTTTATTTTCTCTCCTGTTTTTCAGCAGGGGCTCGGAATCATTTTTTTAAAGGTACAGCCTCCTCCAAGTGCTTGGTTGGGACAGGTTTGGTTGATTAAGTGTGGTTCTCCGCCCCCCCCACACACAGGGCTACCGAACAGGCTATGCATACAGGCACCCTCTGGTTCGAGAGAAGCCTCGGCACAAGAGTGATGTGGAAATCCCAGCAACTGTGACTGCCTTCTCCTTTGAGGACGACACTGTGCCGCTCTCTCCCCTCAAGTACATGGCACAGAGGCAACAGCGTGAAAAAACACGATGGCTGAACTCACCAAATACTTACATGAAAGTGAATGTGCCGGAGGAGTCTCGGAATGGGGAGACGAGTCCCAGGACCAAAATCACGGTATGCCTCCGCTCCACATAGCTTGCCTTCTCAAAATGTCTACCTAGTTCCTCATGAATGGCCCACATCTGAGTTATAGGGAAGCAGGATATATTGTAAAAATGATACCACTGTCATTTATCAGGTATTCAATTTAAGGCTCTGTTCTAAGCCGCATATATGAATAATCCCATTTTCTCCTCCTATAACAAAGTGAATACTCTTTTTCTCCTTTTTTTAGATAAGAAAACCAAAATAAGTTAACTGTTTCTTTTTTAAGTATTTATTTATTTTAGGTTAACACACAAGGTGATGTATTTCATAGACATTTTATGCATATATATATCCATATGCTTTTGCTCTTTTGTTTTTTAAGTTTTATTTATTTTATGCATATGAGTGCTCTTCACCTTTATGCCAGAAGAGGGCATCAGATACTACTAGAGGTGGTTGTGAGCCACCATGTGGTTGCTGGGAATTGAACCCAGTGTCTTGGATCTTCTCCACATGACACCACTGTGTGGCTCCACATGTTGCTCTTCCAATACCACATTGGGCCACAATTGCATGAATCAATTTAGAGTTATTTTTCAGCATGACCTTGTAGATGGAGATTGGGTTATTTTATCTGCTTTAAAGTTTTTGGTCCATAATTGGCTTGGTTTTGGAGTACATAGCACCAAATTTATTTGGGGTTGGATGAAGAGAGAAGGTCTTACTGTATATCCTTGGCTGGCCTGGAACTCAAAGAGACCTGCCTACTTTGCCTTCTGAGTGCTAATAAGATTAAATAAAGATGTGCACTCCAACACCCAGCTCCACCAAACATTCCTTAGCTATTTAAAAATTAGTTCAATTTGACATATAAATAAATAACATGCAATATGGAAATGTTTAGACATTTAATTCTAATTATCTAATTCAGTTAACTACAGAAAGATACATAATTAAACTCCAAGTTTCCCAGAATTGATTTAATAACCAGAGATTGCCAGTCAGCCACCACTGATCTTACTTAGCCTTCTCTCAGGGTTAGACAGAGTGTAGAGTGAGGAGAGGAATTCTAGAAGGTCCTCCAAACCCCATGGTTCCCATTATACTGCATGCTTCAGATTACCCCCTAAAGCATCCTAGCTCAAGTCTTGTCCCCATTCCAGCCAAAACTAAAAGGCAGACATCTAAAAGATTATACATTAAGACATTCTTTGTCTTTCTGTGACTTCTTGGCTTTTGTCACCTGATGAGATTCAGTGCAGGAGACAGAACTCCAGATGCCAGTTAATGCAGTCATGTTGTCTGTCTGTCTGTCTAAAGTAGTTTCCACATCCTGCTTTAAGCTGTCAAAAGGAGAGAGCTTTAATTGGGAGCATAATGGATTACTCATGCGCACTGTAATGGTGCTTGCTCCTGCTAAAGTGAACGTTTGGGGAGGGGAGGCTTCTCTAACTAGCATGAGGTAGGAGTTACCTACCAAGATACTACTTAATAAAATATGCCCCCTGCAGACTCTGCTCGGCTACTTGGTATCTAATATTTCTTTCGTGCAAAGCTTCACTCTAAAAATGATTTTATTCTTTAGTGGATGAAAGCAGAAGACTCCTCTAAAGTTAGTAGTGGAACACCTATCAAAATTGAAGATCCCAATCAGTTTGTTCCTTTAAACACGAACCCAACTGAGGTGCTGGAAAAGAGAAATAAGGTAAGACCAGAAGAGATCTTTATCCTGTTCAGGGTTAAGTCACTAGGGAGGGAATCTGCTCACAAGCTTGGGAGTTTGAAACCTAAGAGTCAAGTTCATTCATTTTAGTTTGCGCGGATACCTCCAGCTCCATGCTAGTCATCAGTGAACAGGCTCCATGAGAAAGAAATATTCAACACATTTCTGCTTTGAAGCCCTTCATATTAGTGGAAAGTACAGCTCTCTCGAGGCCTAAGACTGTAGGAAAGTGAGAGTCAAGAGGGTAGGGATGAGTGCTAGCTAGTATTTGGATGGTGAAAGGGGGTACTTCATGGAGGTAAAAATTAAGAACTCTTACTTGGGGATGTCAAACCATAACTTGTAGGAAAAGAAAAGACAGAGCTCATGTGCTTGGTGACCCTAAGAACTTACTATTTCCATTCAGATTCGGGAACAGAACCGATACGACCTGAAGACAGCAGGACCACAGTCTCAGCTGCTCGCAGGAATTGTTGTGGACAAGCCTCCTTCTGTAAGTCTGAGGCATTGTACCTTAGGTTTGGATCTGCCACATAAAGTCACTGCTTTTTTTTTTTTTTTTTTTTTTAGCTAAGGATGCTGTAGGTAAAAATTTAAAATCAGAAGCCATAAAACTTAAAATGCTCCATCCCATCCCCAATTTGCAGAGGCAGACTGACTGTTCCTCTAGTTGCTACAAGCATTTGTCTCCATGTGTTTAAATAGCAACTTTATGCTCCAAGTCTACACACTGTAATTCCAACCTTGGAGGACAAGAAGGGATTGCAAGGGTGAGGACAGCCTGGACAGCAGAGCATGACACCATCAGAAACACTTTTCTTATCTGCTTTTTCTCGGTTTATCAGTTTTAAACCTTGCCTCATTTTATCGGTTATCAACCATTATTTATTTCTCACTTAAGAGAAAAGGTACTGCCAGTTATATTTTAGGAAGCTATAAATTATGATTCCCAGTTCCAGAGATTAGAAAATGTGGGGGTATGTTCATCTTACGGATGAGAGCAGTGAGGACCTTATTGTGGATGAACCCTTAGTTGAGTCTGCTTACAGAATGCTTCCAGGCCTTCCCCATCCATCCCTCAGGAGGCGTGGCTCACCAATGCGGCCTCAGCTTTCAGGGTTTATGTGGCTGTGTGTTTGTTGTTGACCAGGTGGCTCTCCCATGCTCCTCTTGTGTCCTTTCCCACACAGCTCGCAGCCTCAAGTTAACGATTGTTCTTTCACGTTAGTGCAGCGCTCAGGCTACATTGTCATAGCTCTGCTCAGACCTTTTCACTTGACCCTCAAACACACACACAAAAGGGACTTCAGATAAATAATCATTGTGATGTAGCTCAAAATGAAAATAAGCCAACTCCAGATTTAGTAAGAGGAAAGAATCAGAATGGGAACTACACATATATGGAGAGACAGCTGCTAGAGGTCATACTGAACAAATGAGAAAATACCCAAGTAATGAAACTAAGCTGAAAAGTGGGAAATTGAAATGCAGAAAATCATTAGGTAGTACTCTGAAATTTATGTTCTAATAAGTTGGAAAATCTAAAAGAAATTGATAAATTTCTACATACCTGTGGCTTACCAAAATTGGACCAAGAATTTTAAAGGAGAAAAACTCAACAGATCAATAACAAGAAACCATTAAAGCTGTGTACATCGGGCTCCATGAGAAAGGAGAGACACAGCACTTACGGGTCTGGAGTCTTTAAAGTCACCACATACGCAGGGTCACTGATCAGTCAGGGCTGCATGACAAGGGCTCGGGAGGCTGTTCCTCCTGGCAGCCCCGAGTCAGAGCAGAAGCAGGGTTCATAAGCACAAAACCATGAACACACCTGTACTAAGTTACAGCTACATTGTCACCAATCAGGACCAGGGATCAGGAGCTTTCCCTATCTGTTCTGTCATTGTAACTGCCACAGAATGTCCAACTAGTTAATTCATCTGTTCTTGTTGTTAGGAACAGGCATTATGTTTTGGGAATTGTTGCCTAGAGAGGAAGTGGTTAAGCTTCTGGAAAGTCCCCATGGGAACTTGGGCTTTGTTTCACCCTCCAGGTAAAATGGTGTCTGAAGTCAAAATGGCTACATTTAAGCCAAGGTGCTTTTGCCTGCTCCCTTCAAACCAAGACCAAAGCAGTAACAGTCTCCCAACAAAGAAAACCCTTGGACTGGACAGAGTCACTATTGAAAAGAAATTGAATTATCTTTATGAAAATAGCTGTATTACTGACCCCAATCTAGAGATTCAATGCAGTCCTCATTCACATTCTTCACTGACATAGAAAAAAAAACTCCAGAAACTCAAATGGAAGACTCCAAATAGGCAAGAGAGTCTTAGCAGACACTTGAATATGTGTGTAGTGCACACACAAGGGGGAGAGAGAGGAGGAGGAAGAAAGGGCTGGGAGTACCACAATACCAGATTATTCTACAGAGCCATAGTACAAAAAACTGGTACTGATACAAACCCCACATGTAAATCAGTGGGGTACAATAGAGAACCCAGAAATAAGCCCACACAACTATATCCACAAAGTGTCAGAAACATGTATCGAGAAAAGGCCCGGAAGCTGTCCACCTGTGGAGGACAAAAACTAGGTCCCTGCTTCTCGTCCTGCACAGAACTCAGTGCAAAATGTATCAAAGATCTTAATTCAGAACCTGGAGTTCTGACACTGCTGCAAAAACATACTGGGGGAGCCGGGCAGTGGTGGCACTCACCTTGAATCCCAGCACTCAGGAGGCAGAAGCAGGCAGATCTCTGTGAGTTTGAGGCCAGCCTGGTCTCCAGAGCGAGTGCCAGGATAGGCTCCAAAGATACACAGAGAAACCCTGTCTGGAAAAACCAAAAAAGGAAGGAAGCAAGCAAGCATACTGGGGGATTTGGAGAGATAGGCAGCAGCTTTATGAAACCAACTCCAATAGGTCCAGGAGTAAGCAGGAATTGACACATGAGAAATAATTAAGTTCAAAGTGTCTGCACAGCAGTAGGAGCAACAGAGTGAAGAGAAACTGAAAGATGTAGGAAATCCTTGCTAGCTATTCATCTGACAAGTGATTAATACTGAGAAAATATAAACTCAAGAGCTGAGCACCCAAACAAAAAGCCAGTCTATAAATGTAGAATAACTACATAGAAAAGATGTTTAGTATCTTTAGCCATCAAAAAATGTCAGCGAAACTAAAATTTACCTGGAAGTACAAAAGACCCCAAATCACCTGAATAACCCTGAGCAAAACCGTACACACACAGAAGACTGAAACTAGATCTCTATTCCTCATCTTGTACAAAGTTGCCTCAGAATGGAGCCTAAGCCTTGGAGGAAGGTCTGAAACTTTGAAACTTATAGGACTTTTCAAAATTATAGTTTATTAAAATGGCTTTGTGGCAAATTCCTTCAGGTGAGGAAATTTCATACCATGAGTACAATTCCAAAGTTCCTCTGGAACTTTGATAGACATGATCACACTCATGTCCCATTGTTTTTGCTTATCCCCTCCCTAGCCCTGGTCCTCTTCCCAAATAGCCGCCTTCCTATTTTCATGATCCCCAACATTCCAGATGTCCCACATGAGAGATGAATTGGTGATATGCATCCTTTTGGATTTGACATGTTTTCTCTTAACATGATGACCTCCAGTTACAACCATTTTCCTGCAATAATCTGATTTTGTTCTTCTTTGTGGCTGAGTAATAATACTCCTTTGTGTATATGTACATTTTCTTTGTTCACATATCTGTTCCCATGGATTTATATAGTTGGATCATATGGTATTTCTGTTATAATTTGATAAGAATATCGTATCTGTTCCCATGGATCTCTGCTTTAGGTATATACCCAGGAATTATATAGTTGGATCATATGGTATTTCTGTTATAATTTGATAAGAATATCTTAAAAATTAAAATGCATGTTGCTTAGTCATTTCTTACAATTTCTATGAAGTGGGTAATCACAAAGATTTACTTGGGTATATAACTGTGTGTGTCTGTGTGTGCATGCATGTGCACGTGTGTGTGTGTGTGTGTAGATAAAGATATGAAAGATATGCAAAGCATTTGAGAATGAATCTAAGTTGTTGGGTTTTTTTCTCTGTAAGACCATGCAATTTGAAGATGATGATCAGGGCCCACCAGCTCCTCCTAACCCATTCAGTCATCTCACAGAAGGGGACCTTGAAGAATACACGAAGACAATCGAAAGAAAGCAACGAGGCCTGGACGGTGAGTTCCTCTTAGGTTAGGCCTGGGGTCAGCACACTGATAACAGAGTCCTGGAGCTGGGTGACAGAAGCATCAGAGCTCTTGTGTTCTATTCTAGCTCATCTGCTCTAGCCCTGTCCAGCTGCAGGTGAGCTAGAATGCAGAGAACCACCCTACGCATTAAGACAGAAAACCCTGATCCTCTCAGAATGCAGTCTGAATGTGGGCTATGTTATCTTACATTATAACACCAAGGCCCAGATAAATAAAGGATTTCCAGACAAAGTAAATACAGGTCTTGCTTTGAACATTGCATGGTCTGTGGCTTGTTAATCACAGATTCTCAAGTACATGATTTTAATGCTTTGTGAACTCTCTGTTCCTGGTGTCAGGGTGTCAGTATAGTCATTTCAAAATCGCCATGTAGTGCACTGCTAGGAATTGGAAGTTACTTTCCTAGGGCACATGGGTGCTCTAAGCATTAAGTTTGGCTGACTGTGGAAGTCTTTGTAAGAACTGGTAGTGAAGAGCCAAGCATGGAGGCACATGCCTGTAATCCTAGCTCCAAAGGCTGAGGCAGGAGGATTGTAAGTTGAAGATCAGCCTAGGCTACATGGGGAGATCTTCTCTCAAAAACAAGTAAATAAATAAATAAGTTATTACTGAAAAAGCCCTAGTGGTTAAGTCTTAGTGCTGCTTTGCTCTAGAGTAAGAGACTGATTTTAGCAGGGTTTCAGGGCTGGGTTTTTAAGCCCCTGAAAGACAGACAGTGATGTATAAAGACATCTGCACAAGCAGGATTCAGGTTGGAAAATTAGGAGTCTCTGATCCAGTAAGAGCTTCTGTGTTGCCTCATCTTCAGTACCCAGTTAGCATTCCTACCAAAGCAAAACAGAACCAATAATAAAAGAATTGTCTGTGTGGCTGGGCGATGGTGACACACACCTTTAATTCCAGCACTTGGGAGGCAGAGGAAAGTGGATCTTTACGAGTTTGAGGCCAGCCTGGTCTACAGAGTAAGTTCTAGGACAGCCAGGACTGTTTCACAGAGAGAAACCCTATCTCAAAAAAAAAAAAAAAAAAAGACAGGGGGGTTTCTGTGTTAAATACCACTGTGTTACCTGATGGCTAATGGCTAATGACATCTGGGCCATCCATTTATCAATATATTCATACCTTTATCACAAAAGCAACTTATCCTACTCATTAATGTATTTGCAGCAAATTGTTCTAAGTGGCATATTTAACTTGTTTGTTCTAACATAAGATAGAAACTTTTTTATATTTTATAAAATGTTCCTGTTTAATCTTTTATTTTTGAAAGTCTAAAGATGCCAGGTAACAAATATACTCCAGACATCACTTTTTATATATAACTTTGTAATTAATTTCTTCTACATTCCTGCTTTAGCTCACTAATATTGCTCCAACAGAAGCACTAACTGGAAATGGTTAGGAACATAGTGAGCTATTCTGCCTGATTAGTGTGGCAGTGCTGGTGAGGCTGTGTTAACTCTTTTCATCTGGCTCTGTTGATTTTTGGTTTCCTAAACTTGCAGGACCCAAGTGCATATATGTTCTTTGTCTGCTTCTTTTAACCCAGTATGAAAAATTACAATTCCCAGCCCAAAGCTTTAACACATTAGTCTCCTCAGCACCATAGTGTGACGTGTGGGATAGTGCTAGCATGCTCCACTCATTGCTGAAGGGCTCGGCGCCTGTGTGAGCAGGCGTTGGGTGTGCGCACTAACCTCTCTGAAACCGTAAGCTTCCTTGTTCTGTCTGCATGGCTTTTAACTGAACATCTTATTCAACAGACGCTGAGCAGGAGTCACTCTCAGATGATGCAGCATCTGTTTCACAAATTCAGTCTCAGACTCAATCACCGCAAAATGTCCCTGAAAAATTGGAAGGTATTCGATGTAATTTCCCATAGCCTTCACATCATAAAAGTCTTGTCGATTGTGCCCATGTAAGAAATTGAGCAAGTGTTCACAGTAACTTTGTCAGAGTTTTACTGAATTCTCCCCAGAATGTTGCACATTTATGAAATGGAATATACTACTTTATTCTTCATTTATATTGAGTCACTTTCACCTAGCTTGGGCTAACCCATAATTTTAAAGAATTTGTGGGATTAAAATTAACTCATCATGTCATACATCTTCTGATCAATAGCATGAGGTTGTTTACAGTTGAAAATGTCACAGTGACCATCAATCTAGGGGAAAATATGTGTTGTCATCTTCATTTATAATGATTCAATTTACAATGAAATGACATGACATCAAACTACAATTATCTTTGACTTTTTAATACCTGTGTTCTCTTCCCTTTGTATCATTTAAGAAAAATTAGCTTCATGCTAGTAGATAGTAGGTTATTAAAATGACAATCTGTCCTCATTGAAATTAAAGCAATCCCTCAGTACATTGCTAAAACATCTCAGTTTGAGAACTAAACAGAAATGTTGACTGTGTAAATAATAATCCCCCAAACCTTCCCCTTTTGCAGAAAACCATGAGCTGTTTTCCAAGAGCTTCACTTCCATGGACGTGCCTGTCATGATTGTGAACGGCAAGGATGAGATGCACGATGCTGAAGATGAGCTTGCTCAGCGGGTCAGTAGGTTAACCACAAGCTCGACCATAGAGAGCATCGAGATCACCATTAAGTCTCCAGAGAGAACCCAAGAGGTCATGTCACCTGATGGCTCGCCTTCAAAGTCACCATCCAAGAAAAAGAAGAAATTCCGCACACCTTCTTTTCTCAAAAAGAGCAAAAAAAAGGAGAAAGTTGAGGCCTAAGTAGTCTTTTTGTAATTTGTATATTACAATGTGACATTGCACAATTAAATACCACATTTTAGTTCATCGTTCATATACAGTGGTAGATCGGATTGGGGTATGTAGCAAACTGGACTTAAAAAACTGGAAAGAGGTTTTACTAAAAGAAAAACATTATGGAAAACTTTGAAATTCATCTCTTTTTATATGTCCAAACATGGCTTTGAACTTTTAAACAGTTGCTAGTTTTACTTAGCTCTACCCTCATGAAGTATCTTTGCTGTTGATCACTGACAGACACCTGTTATTTCAGGACTTCTCCGCCATTTCTATTAGAAAGAAATTGCCAGTGAACCAGCTGTTACTTCAGGACTTCTCCGCCATTTCTATTAGAAAGAAATTGCCAGTGAACCAGGGAGAATTTTTACTTCCCAGAAGCTGCTTGACTTGCTAATCAGACTGTATTTTATCATGGTTATTATTGACTGTATCTTGGGTCCCTGTTGTTTCAGTGGGCACTAATGGAATGCTCTAAAAGCTTCTACAACAAGAATCTGTAGCTTTGGTATACACTGGCATATAATTTTTTAAATGTTTTAAGACAAGATTTGTTTGGATTTTTATTCATAGTATGAAATTCTCTCACCTGAAGTAACTGTTTGCCAAAAAAAGTCATTTTAATAAGCTATAATTTTTGAAGAACTTCCTTTTTTATTAGTTTAGAAAGCCCCTTATTTTTCACAGAGGGGATTTTGTACACATAAATGAGTTATTTGGTTTAACTCTGACAAAAATAATTTTTGTATGTTGAAATGTTTGTGCACCTTCAGTATAAGGTGTCATGTGCATCTAGCCAATCAGTTAACAGCAGAGCATTCCTGAGGCTTCTTAGTACTGAGTATAATTCAAGAGTCCAGGGACATGGCATCCAAAGGGCATATAAAAGTCTAGATTCATATTTGAACCGTATAATGTATTTTTCTCTTAGTATTGCTGATGGCTGAAGAGTGTCTCCTAAGGTAACCAGATACTGTAGAGGCGGGAAGGAAGGGAAAGGCAAAGGGAAGTGAGGCAGGATGGGAAGGAGGGGTCTAGTCTGATGATGATAGTGTACATCCACAGTGTGATACGTAGTGTGAGTTACTGAAAAGAAGCCCCGGATTGCTAAAATCCTCCTTCTCTGCCAAAATCAATGTCTCTGTTGATGTTTGAGTTTTAGAGAGATTAAGACGTACATACTTTTAGAGGACAGCACTAGAGAGATTAAGACGTACATACTTTTAGAGGACAGCACTAGAGAGATTAAGACGTACATACTTTAGAGGACAGCACTAGAACAAAGCAGCAGGTCTAATCCCACCAGCAAGAAAACTACCACTTCTTGATTTTTACAAACTTAAAAATTCTTTTAACTTTCTTTCTACTGTAAATACAAATTTAAACCTAGGTTTAATATAGTGTTCTCCATTTTCCCAAGTGATGTCACAGATCAATGTAAATGGATGATCCACAACACTTATGAGTAAAAATCATGGAGGTCCCTGGAGGGCCAGTTGGCGTGCAGAAGTCACACTGACCACAGTGTTCTCGGGCCAGCTCTGTCTGACCGTGTGGTTATGCAAACTTGAAACAGCCTGCAAATGTCAGTTTAGATCTCACGAACTACTGGAGTCTGTTCATCTCGTAGTGGAAACTTTGAGTTGCTGAACTATGTATCTGAGGATTGTTTTATGTTCTACATCATTTTTGTTGTATTACAATGTGTGTAGACACAGTAACCTGTGAACTATCCTTTTCCATAACTTTTAAAGAATATATATATCTAAATGAATGCAATGTGCATAAATATTTTTTAAACACAACAGTAAACTATTGCACCTTTTGCTAATGCTTCTATTTACTTGCTTTGGCATAATGAATGAGCCAGTGAACCCAGTGTCCTGTGGAGAAATGTGTAAAAGTTATCTGATATTGCTCTTAGATGTTATGCTAATTAATGTAAAGTCACAAATAAACAGTATTTTAAATATATGCATGTGCTATAATGAAGTTTCCATTCAGGAGTGACTTCTTAGTTTATACACTGTACTCTGCCAAGTTTTATGTAAAACAGTAGAGCTGTAAGATTGTCTTCTGAGTAAGGAGATCTCTGGTCAATGCATTTTCAATTTAGTTAAAAACACACACACACACACACACACACACACACACACACGAATAACATCTGTGCTTAATGGTGCACACCTTTAATCCCAGTACTCAGGGGGCAGAGGAAGGTGGATCTCTGAGAGTTCCAGGGTAGCCAAGGCTACAATAATGAGACCCACTCTTAGAAAAAAACAAAAAAAAAAAAAGATATGTGTCAAGTATCACATATATCTGCGTGTGTGTGTGTGTGTGTGTGTGTGTGCCGGTCGGGTGTGGTGGCCTGAGGATGCTGTGTTAAGGCAGAAGATGTAAACTGTGTACTAGCTCAAAACATTAGAATCATACAAACAACAGTGTAAGGAAAGGGGCAGGAAAAAGAGAAAATTCACTATTTTTCCCCCTTAAGGTTTTAATTTTTCATTCCCTCTAGTTCTTGCCTAATTATGTGTATATTTCCTATATGTTGATAATCATAATGTGAATATCATTTCTATCCAGTTTTTTTCTACTTAAAATAGCTCACCCTAGAGACACCTGTAATCCCAGCACTTGGGAGATGGAGGCCTGGAGGGTCTGGAGTTCAGGCTTTAGCATAGGTGGCCCTGTCTACAAAGAGAGTAATCCCTCACATGAATAATTTATTTTGAATTTTCTCTACTTAGTCCTAGAAATGAAGAGCAAGAAGAAACCATGTAATTGAAGGCTCTGGTTAGTTGAAGCTTTTACTAAAATTACCTATTACAGAAATGAAGGATTTCACAAAGAAGAGAGTGGGGTGTTGGTGGCGCACGCCTTTAATCCCAGCACTCAGGAGGCTGAGGCAGGTAGATCTCTGTGAGTTCAAGGTCAGCCTGGTCTACAGAATGAGTTTCAGGACAGCCTCCAAAGCTACACATAGAAACCCTGTCTTGAAAAACAAAACAAAACACAAAGAATAGAGTGATAGTCTTGGTCATCGCATCGTAACTTGTTACTCGGCTTGTAAATGACTGGTGAAAAGTATTTCAGACGAAGTCTCTTTGACTGTAGTTCTCACCAGAGTGACCATAAATTACAAAGTGCTTGCTTGTGTCTTAAGTTAATATTTCATCATATCTTATAACATCATCTTTTTTAAAAAATTGGCAGAAACCCCCTAAAAGTAAATGAGCTATTTTTTTAGAGGCACACATACATACGCAAATCATCTTGGCCAAACTATCATTTCTAAGAACCGTTTCCTTTGTGGCCACTAGGGGGTGTGACTAACCTAACAATCCAATTTCCAGTTCCATACTTCTTTCTTCGCAGACTTGAATACCATGTTTGTTGTGAGGAACTTGGAGGGCATTTCTTTTGTTGCTTATTCTCGCGAGACTGTCCCTCAGCCCTGTTTTAGCAGGTCCTAGTTCACCAAGACAGGTGTCACCTGCAGGGTTGTAATGCCTATAGAGAACATGCAGACTGTAACAGGAGTGACTGCCCACAGGTTTCAGGCGTGTGACAATATAACGCTTCCTTCTTTTTTACTAAGGAAGTAGTTGACAGCGCCTGCCCTTGTTAATGTCTCTGTATACCAAAGATTATGCTAAGTACTTTTCACATATGAACACACTTGACTTCCCCACCAGCCCATAGACACTGCCCCCACCTTGTAGGTAATAAAACTAAGGTCTGTGGAAGACAGACCTGGTGCTTTGACCATAGATTCAGACTTGCAGAATTACTGGTGCCCACTTACTGCTTATCTCTGTGTGGCTCTAGTGTATTTGTTCTGTTTTGTTCTGTTCTGTTCTGTTCTGGTTTTACAGATGGCCAAGGAGCATAGTTTGTTTCAGCCACAGTGAACCAGCTTTTGTTTAAGTATATTTAGATAAAACACTACTTTTGATTTGAAAGACTTTCTCCTCCCCAAGTCACCTCAGAATGAAGAACTGAGTGGGAAATAGAGGTGAGGTGTGGTGAGGATGTCTGCATGAAGAATGGGCTCTTAAATTCCAACATCCTTCTCGCTGGGGAGTCGGGAGACATTCAAAGGCAGTTTTTAAAACCTGCAGAGGTAGCTTGTCCAGACAGAAATGTGTATTTAAAGACGAAGTGAGCTACTTATTAAAGTGAATAGTGGTCTTTCACCCAAAAGACCTTTTGGGGGGGAAAGCATGCTGGAGTTGAAATGATTAAGTTTTAAGGAGCTTTTAGTAGAAAAAAAGTGGCAAGCTTGGTTTCCAAAAGGGGTTCGTTACTAGAAAATGACTATAGGAGGCAATACTGAGTCTATATTTAGTCAAGGGAACTTCTTTTAATTTTTATTATTATTATTATTATTATTATTATTATTATTATTATTATTATTATTATTATTATTATTATTATTATTATTATTATTATTATTATTATTATTATTATTATTATTATTATTATTATTATTATTATTATTATTATTATTATTATTATTGGCTTGGAACTTGATGAGTGTGCATCACTGGGCACAGTCTGAAGTTGAGGGAAGTTTATAGATGTAGGATTACATCCTGTGGTCCTCAGAGCGAGGCTATCAATTCTTCAGAGAGATGGTATTGCCTGACACAACACAAAAAGGACTAAGTCAGAATTCAAGCAAGCTCTTCCACATTTGTGTCTCTTGCTTTCCCACCATAACACAGGCTCTCTTGAACCTCCTATGGACCATATCCCAGGATTAGGTAAGTACAAGTGTTCCTGCAAACTAGTATTTAGGAATGGGTAAAAGACATGAAACTAAGCTTGAGTGTTATTTATCAATCTCTGCTTTTTTGACATTTAAAGTTATTAGGACTGGAGAGGTGACACTGCAGTTTTGAGTGCCAGGGGCCTGGCTCCCATGACTTCAATCTGTGATTCTGGAGATTCGATGCCTTCTTCTGACCTCCAAAGACAGCAGGTACATGTGATACACAGACATACATAGAAGCAAAACATTCATACACATAAAATTTTTTAAGCTAAAAGAAAAACTTTAAAATGTTTTTGAGCTATTAGATTCTCCTTGAAAGTTGTTTAATTATTCTCTCAAGATAATCATGGTACTGTTTTCTTTCCACGTGGAACTTAAAATTTTTAAGTGTCATTTGTGACTTAGATGACAAATGCACATTTTATTATTCCTTATGCCTAGTAGGAAGAGGAGGAGGGGAGACACACACACAC